ATAGAGCCCCTGGAATGCAGTGATTCCAGGCCGAGGCCTAGAGGCAGCTGTGGTAGGCCACGGCAGGGTGACCCTGCTACCCAGGGTGGAAGGCACTGGACTGGGACCGGGCCACACAGGCACCCTGGGAAGCAGGTGCAGGGATATATAACACAGAACATGAAACACAGGTACACTTCTCATGAGTAAGCACATGGATTAGTGGGCACAGATTCACAGGCCAGAGTGATACACAACCGTGGCCAGGCTGGACACATAGACACAATGGCAGTATCACATACAGACCACAGGGAGAGACAGCACTATGGAAAAGGATGGCTACCATGGCCACAGAACTTGAAGGGGTGCCTTTTGGCACGACTGCACTGGAATCATGTGAGGTGCAGGTGGTGGAAGCTGCATCAGAGCAGCCCCCATGCACACCCTCTGGACTTAGTCTGTCTTCCACACTTTGTTGAGCAGCTTCACCACCTCATCATAGATGACAAACACGATGGCCACATCCAGACAGACCCGGCCCAGGCGGGGGACTGTGCCTTTGTAGAATCTGTGAGGAGGAGGATAGGAGGTGAAGGAGGCAGAGGACAGTCTCTGGAGAGGATCTCACTCAGGTACAGGAAGGGGTTACCCCAGGGCAGGAGGGTACAAGACCAGGGAGGATATGGGATGGGTACAACAGCCCTGCCCTTCCTGTACTCACGCCCTGAGCCCCTCATTCCTCAGGATCTGCAAGCCACAGTCCCATGTGTTCCGGTATTTGTGTGCCTCTAGGCCCTGAAGGACATCAATGGGCCGGAGTGCTCAGTAGCCAGGTCCTGTCCCAAGTACACCTCCCCACTTCCTCAGCTTCCCCTGCCCCAACCTGCATCCGGGTCTTGATAACGTCCAGAGGTGTGTTCCCAAAGACACTGGCTGCGCCCGCAATAGCTCCAAAGACCCCAGTGATTAGCGGATTCATGGGCTTGTTGGGGTTGTCCCCTGGATATGGGTTAAGGGTTGTAGTCAGAGGGTGTTGGGAGGTAAAGGGGGGCTAGGCTTTGAAGGCTGGGAAGGAGCCTGGAGCAGGGTCTATGAAAGAGCCCTCCTAGAGATAGCCCAAAAGGAGAAGTAGGTGCTGGGGATTTAGCTCAGTGGCACCTGGGACTGCCTTGCAAGCGCAAGGTCCTGAGTTTGATCCCTGGTACCACCAAAAAAAATTTTAAAAAAAGGAGAAATGAAGGGTCGGGGATGTAGCTCAGCAGCATGGCGAATGCTTGGCAACTGCGAGGCCCTGAGTTTGATCCCTTGTACACAAAAAGTTTCCTAAAAGAGAAGTGACGCTCAGAGAACGTATAGGTGGGATCCTGGGGCACAGACATACCTCGGTACCAGTTGCGCAGGGAGGTCATGACGAAGAAGCGGATGGCTTGGTTTGAGCCCTGCTTTAGTACAGTGGCTGTGAGGCCCTGGTATGTCCCCTTCAGTCCTGAGAGCAGGCAGCATAGAGTCACCTTGGGACCTCCCAGGCCCCAGCTGGGGATTGGGGAGGGGTGTCACATGCAGTGCCAAAATGGCAAATGGAAGGGTAGTCCCTTTGGGCCTGACTGAGCCCTCTGACCCTCCTGAATGGCTCACCTTGCTCCCGTACAATCTCCCTAACCCCGTGGAAGAATCCTCTGTACTTGGGGTTGGGGGAGGTCTGGTCATGGATGAACTTCACCTGAGAGAGAGGAAAGCACAGGAGCTAGCTCCTGGCCACCACCTGAAGGGCACACCTGCCCTTTTGGTAGCAGGCCTAGAGCCCACCCAGATCAAGATAAGACTCTCCACTTGAAAGCAGTACCTCCCTAGGCTATCCTGGGCCACTACCACAAAGGCCCCAGGACACAAGAGGGACCTTCTAGTGAAGGAGTCTCTGCACTTATGTTTTCTATTTATAGAAAGTCTTTAAGGTGTAAAAAAACTTTTATTTTTTGGTACCAGAGATCGAACCCTGGACCTCACACTTTAGAGGCAGGTGCGGTGCCACTGAGCTAAATCCCCAGCCCCTTGTTTTGTTTTTGAAACAAGATTTTTCTCTGTAGTCCAGACTGGTCTTGAACTTGCTGAGATCCTTCTACTTCTGCCTCTGCCTCCTGAATGCTGGGATGACAGTCACATACCTAACACCTTGCCTGGCCTTAATAATGGTTTTGTTTTCAGGACAGACAATCTCCACAGGACATCCTTCCTGCCCTGCCTCCTGTGGCCACCTCATCAGCAGTCCCCTGTGACCTTAACCTCCTTCTTGGGAGATCCTCTCCACTTTTTTTTTTGGTACCGGGGATCAAACTCGGGTCCTTGCGCTTGCAAAGCACGCAGCGAAACCACTGAGCTAAATCCCCCCAAATCCTCTCCACTTTAATAATCTTCTGTAGGACACAGGCCCCTCCCAACCCAGCCCCCCCCCCCCCGTTGATGGGAACTTCCTGCCTTGACAATTTCCATAGGGCACAAGGCCACTATCACCTTGGGCATATCACAGCCCCTGGGGAAAGTCTAGTTTCTGTGCCAGGACCATGCCTACCTTGATAGTCTCCATGGGGCACACGACCACCACAGCCTCAGCGACACCTGCACCCAGGCCGCACAGCAGCCCTCGAGTGCTATCCAGCCGTCCCTGGGCATCCCGCATGTGGTTGCTGAGGAACTCAAACATTCCAAACCTGGGGGTGACAGATGCGTGAGAAAGGCTACTGCCACAGCCACCCTGGCCTTCCACAGCCCAGGGCCCAGTGAGGCCTCACCTGACAGCCGCCTTGGGGATGGAGCCATAGAGCAGGGAGCTGAGGCCACGGTACAGGCCCAGGACACCATGGCTTCGGACCGTTTGCCGCACGCAGTCCCCTGCAGGAGGCGACGGTCAGAACCCAGCAGCCCGCTCCCCACAGCGCCCCCCCACCTGCAGCCCCGTTGTCATCCCCTCCTCACCGATGCCCCGATATCGCGGCGGATTTGAGCGCTCGTCCAGCTGCAATTGAGTTTTCACATACTCGGTCGGGAACGTGATGCAGATCTCGATGCCGCCCGCCAGGCCACCTGCGGGAACAGGCATCGGGGTTCTGAGACGGCCCCGCCCGGAGGCCCAGGGCGCCTGCTGCAGCTCGGGCCCCTCCCCCGCCCCGGACTTCACCCCTCGGCACAGAAAGCCTTCACCGCTAGGAGGCTGGGCCGGGTCCCACGGCCCCACCTCATGGTCCGGATGGGGAGTGCTGGAAGATTCTCGTGGCTGGATCGCGGCGCCGGCTGGAATCCAGGGCTGCACCCCAGTTACCCCAAATCCCCAGGCCGACCCGGAAGCGGGGCGGGAACTCGGCGTCCCCGGACCTCCCGGAAACGTGGCGGAGTAGGCAGGACAGGGGTCGGCGTTCCGTAGGGGCCCACCTGCCAGGATTGCCTTCCCGGGGTGCGTCAGCTTGGCCTTCCCGGTCGCGGGCGCAGCGGCTGCCAGAGAACAGGGGGCGCGGGGCGCGGCCATGGCGGGGAGGCGGGGCGCCCGGGTCCCAGCCTCCAGCACTGGGCGATCGGTCCGCGGCAGAGGGGGCCGGCGGTAGCGGGTTATGGTCCCGAGGGCGGGGCGGTGTCTGCTCCAGCGCTCCGCCTAGCGTGGCCTGAGGCCGGCCCCGCCCCCGGCCCGCCCCGTGCGGGTCGGGAAACTGAGGCCGGGGCGGGGCGCGCGAGGCACGCGTCGGGGCGGAGCCCAAGGGCAACCAATGGCAGATGTCGGGCCCCTGGAACACCGACAGCGGTGTCTTCTGAGGTGGCGCTGCGGGTCAAGGTGCAGTATTCATAACGCCTGGGGCAGAAACGCTCTCGAGAAGGGGAGAACCTCGGAGTCTGCCATAACGACAGGATCTTGGAGATCCTTAGCAGACCCTCCCCCAAGACACTTGCAGACAGTCCCCTCCCTGTGGTTTGAGCTTGGCCTTGGGACACCCCAAGCACTGTGATTATTACCCTGCTCCACTCCCGGATTTAGAACTCCGTGCAGCAAATGTGTTCAGGAAAAGACCTAAATCCAACCCAGTTGCATTGTCCCATGCAATTTTTCTGGGCACACCCTGGTCCTCTGGATCCCAAGAGGTCCTAGGCTGTCTTTAGTAGGTCGCAGGGCCTAGTGAATCAGCCCCCATCCCTCCTACCCAAACCAGCACCAAGCAGAGAAGCTTTGCCTTGAGAAACCGATTTTAATATTCATGATCAGCAGGAGTCTGAGTCCCATTAATGAGGTGTTCCTATAGTGTCCACAAAGTGGTCTGGAAGGGGAGCTCTAGCCAATCTGGAGTGGAGAGCGCCCCTCCTAAACTCCAGGGGATCCTTGCAGACAAGAGTGTCGCTAGTCATGCCTGGCTCCAGCCAGAGGCCCTTCAGGCAGAGATCCACCTCCCTGCTAGCAGCTGGTGTTGGTCTTCTTGGGCAGTCACTGTCTACCTTGGCCTCCCCAGGCTCTGCAATGGCTCAGAGGTGGCATCAATAGGCTTCAGCAAAAATAAGTAATATCCAGGTGTCCTGCCTCCCAAGTGGGGTCCTCTATGCTTTCGGAGTGCCATGTTTCTTGGAAAGGCTAATACCTTGGTAGAAGGTACCACCCACTACACACTGAAGCCATACACAGGAGACTGGGTGAAGGCAGGAGCGGCTGAGTTTCCCTGGGGGAAGCCGGCAGGGGCTGGGCCTGCAGCAGGACCCACTGTCACCATCAGCTGCTGGCCTCTGGGAGAAGTCCACAGTGAGCAGAGATCCTGCTCCCCAGGATGGTGCTCCTCTCTTGGCTGCTCCTGAGCAGAGTAGCTGGGGGCCAAAGAAGCAGGGTTGCTAGGACCAGCCTGAGGCACAGGGAGAGTAGGTATCTGGGAGAAAGGTGGGGGTGGGGTGGGTATATTGCTGTGGGGCTGGCCAGAGCACAAGCTGGTCCCCAAATGGGACACTTACTTAGCTCAATCAGCTGAGTCTCATTCATGCCCATCAAAATCTAAAAAAACCAGGGCCGGGGATTTAGCCCAGTGGTTTCGCCGCCTGCTACGCAAGCGCAAAGACCCGAGTTCGATCCCCGGTACCAAAAAAAAAAAAAAAAAATCTAAAAAAACCAGACTGACATTAATGGCAAATGGGTAGCCCAACCCTGGGTAGGACACACTGAAGCCCAGTTGTGCTGCATGCTCATACCACCCCATCAGGCCTGTGTTAGACCTGCAGTGTGTGCTCAGAACTCAACAGCCTCTCCAGTCTGCTTCACAGCAGGCCATTCCAGGCAGGCTCTTAAGTGCAAAGACCTTCCAGCAAAAGCAAGCAACAGCCATGCTGCCCAGGGCCAGTCAGGGCAAGATACAGAAGCAGGGCAGGCAGGAACTACCCCTATCAGGAGGCACAAGCTCTCAGAACATGGAGGATGCTGGGGATGCCTGTGCTCCTGGACACACTGACCTCTATACCTGGGAGCCACTGGGGTTCTGCTCCACCCATCCATTTCCATCTCTATCTCCATCTTTTTTTTTTAAACCAGTCTTGCTGTGTAGTTCAGGCTGACCTTGAACTCGCTATGTTACCGAGGCTGTCCTTGAACTCTCAGCAATCCTCCTGCCTCAATCTCTCAAGTACTGGGATCACAGGCATGTGCCACCACACCCAGCCTTTTTCTGTCTGAAGACCAGCCAGAGAGTGAATCTCTCTAGCCTTTCCCACCTCAGGGTGCCACCTACCAAACATGAGGAGTGTGGGATCCCCAACATGTTCCTCTTACTTGCAAAGGTTCTCTAAGGCATCCAGTTTGTTAACCTGTAAGAAGTGGGAGCAGGTGAGCATCTACGTGACAGAAAAAAAGCCCAGGCTCTAGGTGGACATGGAGCAGGAGGCTTGAACGCATGGGCATCTAGGACAGTTCAGAGTTCAGGATGTGGACAAGAGCAGTCTCAGTGGCCTACTCTATACTCCATTCCACTCCAGTGCAGGGAGGCCACAGTGAGGTGACAGCTGGGGATTTGGGCTAAGATGGAAGAACTGGCAGATCCCTAGTGAAGCCCTAGCTTCAGTTCCAGCTCACAGGCTTCTTGGTGGGCCTACAGCCTCCAGGTGTACTGTAGCAAGCCTAGTCTTCCTCTGGACACAGGGACACAACACAACACCCATCATGACAGGTGTCTTATCTGGTTCTTCCAGGAACCGTTTTGGGGGTAGGGGGTGGGTAGCAGGGGCAGCTAGCCTCAGAGCTAGTATCTGAGAACCCTTGGCCAACCCTGGGTTAGCTGTGTGACTGCAGTGCTGTCCAAGGTAACAATGGCTATAAACACCATCAACCACAACAAACAGTACATGAGCCCCAAAATCTGTAGGGGGTGTTTCCTGGAGGTCCAACCCCCTACACAGTGTCATCTCTGAGGTCTGGGTGGGCCTGCATTCCTCTCATGTTAACCCATGGGGTGCTACTGCCACAGAGAGTTTCAAGCCAACTTGTCCTCAGGCGGAACCTCCAAAAAATCAGCCACTTACAGGTCATCACACTGCAAGGAAAGGAGAGGCAGCTCACTTTGGGAATGTGCAGTTCCTGTAGCAAGCTCCACACAACACATGCCTTCTACAGGGAGCTATTACTGTCCATTGTGGTGGGGGAAGCAAAGAGGCTTCTAACCAGTTTGTGTCTCCTGGAACTCAGGCCATGGAGTCAAGACTGTGCTTCCCTTCAGCCAGGAAAGTCATCAGGGAGCCTCACACCCAGACATGCTGTGTGATGGGATTGGGTCACACTCTCCTGTAGTGGGGTGATGGCCCTGACTGGTCTTTCAGGTGGCTCTCATCAAGGGCCAGGCAGTTCCTCATGGCTCTTCAGACAGCAGGCAGCCCTGAGGCACCATGTTGCTGTTTCTGTCCTAGTCACACTGACCCAGGCCCTCTCTCCTCGAACCATAGCAAGAAGCCTCAGCAGGAGGCTTGTAGAAGGCTTAGTGGCTTGTAGAAGGCTTAGTGGCTTGTAGAAGGCTGGTTTGTAGGAGGCTTGGTGTGTAGGTGGAAGGGCAAGAAGGTGCTGTTAACAGATAGCTTTTCATCAGTGCTACAAACAACAAACTGGGCCAAATGACACAGAACTCTGGGCAGTGACTGAAGTTGGATCCCAGACAGGGACTCTTAGGACTTTATTTTAAAATTAATTTTATTGGTACATTTTAGGTATACACTATAATGACATTCATCATTAGAAATCTGTACCTTTACATAATGAGGGGGTTTTTTCTTGGTACTGGGGATTGAACTCTGGTCCTTGCGCTTGCACAGCAGGTGGCGAAACCACTGAGCTAAATCCCCAGCTGTACCTTTACATAATGTATCTTGGTTCTTATTTTTCCTAGGACTTTGATACCCAGACACCGTCTCCTCAATGAGGAACGTAAAGTCATCCTCTCTACAGCTATTGCAAAGAGCCAGCAGTGTGGTAACACTTCTATCAAGTGACAGGCAAAAGGGCGTCACCACCAAAAGGGTTGCTAACCGCTGCACCTTGAGACTGACTCTCCTGGACACTCCAAGGGCAGATAGCCTGGCCCACATGGAGCCCGATGGGCTGTGTGCTGGAAGCTCCAAGGAGTGCTGGCACCACCAGTCAGGGCTGTCACCAAGCAGGCCTGTTCTGCTCCCTAGCAGTGTGCACTGCTTCTACCCAGGCAAGACACAGGAGACCTGCTTTGAGCAGCAAGTGCTCAGTTCTACTCAATGCCCCTGCCATAATTTTCTAGTGGATAATATTGTACAGAAAACCACTTGAGCATGGATGGAAGAGGCCATTCCTGAAGGAAGGCCAGGACTTGTTGGGCAACCTGGGCTGGCATCAAGCAGGCCCATCTCCTGGGCCCAGCAGGATCAGAGCCAGGGTCACTGCCAGGGATGGGCTGTGCCACACAGGGTCCAGGACTTACTTTGCTAAGGTACTCCCTCATCACCTGGATGAAGTAGGGCATGGCAAAGTCGATGAGGTTGTGTCTCCAGGCCAGCTCAAGTACCTCATCTGGGTGAAGCAGGTCATAGTAGGTGAAGAGAGAGGCTGCAAAGCACTCATGTTTGCCTTTCTCCAGGAACCACTGGAGTAACTTCTTGGAAAGCTCAGGATCACGTGATTCTGCAGCATGCTGCATGGCATCCTGTGGCCAAGGCAAATACACAGCATGGGCCATCCTGCACAGCAGAGGCCTCGAGAGCCTGCACGTGGTTAGGCAGTGTGGCAGCACCAGGTTCCATGAAGGCCCTCCTTTTGTGCAGAGCAAGTGTGGACACACTTGATCTGCTCGATGTACCTGCTGCCCTCTAGTAAGATGGAAGTGCCATCTCCAGGATCTCTAGAGGGGACCAAGTATGGTCCTCTCAGTCCCTGATCTGCCCCAAAATTGCACACACAGGTGTGGTACTCCAGGAGAAAGGGGCTCCACCTCAGGGACAGTGACCCGGGAGCAGAGGACAGGGAGTGTGCAAGGAGGCTCTAGAGAGCTTTGGGGGTGGCGAATGTGCTCAGGCCTACAGACCGCTTCCCTCAGGAATCTGACCCAGTGTGGAGGGAGCAGCTAGCTACAATGGTATGACTCCTCCTTATGAAATAACAATCTGCTTTTTCTTTAAATCCCTCAAAAACCTCTAATTGCTGTTTCCAAACTTGCAAATGCCTTTGTCTAAAACATCATTTACAAAAAGCTACCCACACTGTTAAGTAGGAAACTAGTAAGTGCTCCTCTAGTGGCTATTTCTAGCTACATGAGTCAGCTTGCCTCAACTTTGGCATATCTCATTGTGGCAGGTCTCACCGGCCCTTTTCAAAGTCTAGGAGATTGAGACCCTGAGGTGAAGTCACTTGTCCATGGTCATTCAACCCTACCTAGTTACTCACTGATTGTGTGTGATCTCGGCACAACTTGTGGAGAGGCCTGTGAGCACATACCCACTGTGGGCTCCAACATGAGCCTGAGCTCCATTAGGAGATACTTGAATAAGCCTTGTTGAGCCAGCCTGGGGTGGCCCCTCCCGTCCTTCCTCCTGAACAAATTCCCACCTGCTTGCTCGGTCCTGCCTCAGCCCCCACAATGTTGGTACAAAGTTTGCCAAGACTAAGTGAAAGCTCCAGGAGGCCTTCAGGTGCTCCTCTTAGGACTTCTGATGCAATGTGATCATAGGTGTCTGGCTAGGCCACGCTTGGCTGGTCTGTCTTCAACCTTTGCCTAAAGTGGACATCTCTCTATGGTTTCTCCCCTGTGGGCCTTGGGCCTTTCCAGACCCTGTGATCCAGACTGAGTTCAGCTGCCTCAAGTGACTTTCTAGAGGACCCAAAAGCTCTAGGAGCCCCACAAAAGTTCTCATCCAGTGCCCTTCTCCTGTTGTCTGGAACCCCCAGACCTTGTCCCTTTTCATCACCAGCTGGCCTGCACCACTCCCAGGGTTGCTCTGGATTCTTGTCTGTCTGTGTCTACCTCTTCTCCCAGACTATTGCTGTGGCTGCACCCTCTCCAGATACTTACAACTTCACTGCTTGTGGCTCTAGTTCTTTACCCACAGGTGTTATGGGGTCCCGGCCCTTACTTGCCTCTTGCCTGGCCTGTCTCACCTACATGGTACCTCATTGTAGCCAATCTGATTGTACCCCAATCTTCAGGCTGCCACTGTCCATTCTGCCTTTATCTAACTCTTCTTCTGCCATCTAGACATACTTTTTCCTACTATCCTCCAACCCTAATTGAGCGCACTGTGACATGATTGCCCTCCTCCAAAAGGATTTTTACGAGGTTCTAACCCTGCTTCAGGGCAAGATTGTTCACCATGGCTGTGCTGACATTTGTAAGGGGGTCACTTGAACACCAGGGACTCTTGAGCACCATCACTGCCATCTATTACCTATGTGGAGCACCATGTTCATAGTTGTGACAAATATGTATTCCCTAGGGGCCAGTCACTACTCTAGGGGTAGCATGCTCAGCCACTTTCTACCTGTGGTTTTGTCTTCTGGACTGTCTTGTTTCACATGCTTAGGGGCTCACTGGCTGCAGGAGGCAGTATGTACAACACTACTGACAGTATGTACAACACTACTTGCTCATCACTGTCTGCTGGTGAGGAGGCTGTGCATTTATGCCCCTGACAGGTAGCATGGGGACAGGACTGAGTGGCTGTGACTGGAGGGCCAAGATGTGTCTGATTCTACTGTTGCCTCCCAGCAGCCAGCTTCTGGTACTTTCTGTGTGGTCTCAGAGTCTCAACAGCATTTCTTCTGGGATCCTTCTGCAGGTGCTTTATTGGCTCTCAGGAAGAACCACAAGTACTGTCACTAAGGGCTAGAGGTCATGGAACAATCCAAAACACTGGAGGTGACAATCTGGGGTGAAGCTTGATATAATTCTGACATCAAGGGTCAAAGGCTTAAGCCACAGCTCAGGTGCTGGGAGAGTGAGGTTCCTGTGCTAGGCAAGTGATGCCCGGACAACTCAGAGGAGTAACATCGTCAGGTCACGATCACTACCTGCTGGGGGAGCTTCTAGGGTTTCCTAGTACTTGGAGCCCTAGTAGTTGGAGCCACATATATGTTACCACAAGGGCCCTTGTGCACAATTCCACTTTGTCCCAGTGGGGGATCAACCAAGCAGAGGTTGGCAATGCCTTAAGAGTCTTAACAATTCCTCTAGGCAGCCCAACCTGACCAGCAGATTCCCGGATTTAAATCTCACAGTGCTGCTGAACCCCTCTCACTGGCAGAAACAATTGGTTTGAACATAATTTTAATTTAGTTCTTTAAAGTCTATGATCTTGATAGGAAAATTAAAGTGGGTAACTAGCAGTGGATCTTAAACTGGGTGTGGTCGTACACCTATAATCCCAGCACTCAGAAAGCTAAGGCAGGAGTACTGCAGTGAGTCGGAGACCAGGCTGGGCTACACAGTGAGTTCAAGGCCACCTTAACTACACAGTGACCCCTGTCTCAAACACAAAACAAAACAAAACTGCCACACTGTTTAGGAAGAGTAAAACTCATGTACCTGCTGGAGAAGAATCAACTCCATGACTCTAAGAGCTGTTCAACCCAAATCATTTCTAAGGTGCCTGAGATCTCTCCCAGCTTTCAATTAATGTTCTAAAAACAATCCTCCCTTAACATCAACTTTCTAACCCACCTCAAGGATCTCCTGGTAAAACTCAGAGCTAGGTCTTAGGGAGATGGAAAGGGTGTGAGCTTCCCTATTGCACCTCCCTCAAGGCATCAGGAAACATAGCAAAGTGGCTGGGCCAAAAGGAAAAAGGCTGTGGGGCCACCAACCTTGTAGAGATGGTCCTTCTTGCAGAGTTCCACGCTCTGAGTCCACTGGTTGTTGCCTTTATACAGATAGGCTGCAATGCGCCTGAATTCCATCAGCTGGTGCTTCTCCAGCTGCTGAGCCAGGTTGATGTTGTCGAAGTTGTCATAGGCATCAACAGATACCCTCCTCAAGCCCTAGGAAGACAGGCTTTCTGTGAGGTAGGAATCATGGTGAGACAGCTTGCCTGCATTGTGAGCAGGCACCCGGAATTACAGAAAGACCCCTGCCCACCTGCCTACTGGTGCCCACAAGCCCTCCTACGGAGCACAGCCTGCTGTCGGAATGGACTGGCAGGTATAAAGAGGGGCCCAACAGCATCTGAGCTGCCTTATTCACATCCACCTGATAATCTTCTTCCTCTGTCAGCAGGTGGTTTAGTGCCTCATTCACACTCTTCTTGTTGTGGCTCTGGACTGACCGCAAGTAAGGCTTCACTAGAGGCAACTGGCCTGCCTGACTAGTTGGGAAAATGGTCAAGGCTCTTGGTCTGGGTAGGGGGTGCCCAGAACACACCAACGAGAGGGGTAGGTAGGCATAGGTTAGTCTAGGAGCCACAGGGCACATTCCAGACAACTAGGACCAACAGGCCTACACACAATGATACAAAAAGGACGGTTTGGACCACTCAGTCAACACTATTTCATTTGTGGATAGGGATGGGAATACAAACTTGTACCTGAAGCCTAAAGCAGCCTGATAAACTGAACATGGAAATTTCAAAACCTGTTTAAGAAGGTGCTACCTTCCAAGTGGCCTCAGCAGAGCTTGCCTGACACCTCTTCTCTTCAGACATGGGGTTCTGGGCAACTCAGCTTTGAAAAGAAGCTGACTGTCCTGGTGTGGTCTAGCCAAGATGACAGCACCAGCAGTAGGTCATTTATGAGCAGTGGCTTGTAATCCAAGTAGAACTGCAGGGCTTTGTAATAGAGCTCCACATTGGCCACCTGGAAGGGGGCAAAGCTGAGGATCAGTCTCTGTCCTGCCTCCAGATACCCCAGCTCCACTGCGCCACCTTCTGGCTTTTGTTCAAACGGCACTTTAGCAGTGAGACCTATCTTGACACCCCACATAACTGAAGACCCAGACATATTCCCTCCCATTTTTCTTGGTATTTTTCTCAACAGAAATATGATACCCTGTGGATTCCTGTTTCTTGTCTGCCTCATCCAAGCAGCTACACCAATATATGGTACAAGACTGACGCTCAATCAGTAGCAGATGCTCCAGCTGTTGAGTAAATGAAATATACTAAGCCAGAATAAACCCAAACATCAAAACGAAGAAACACAATGTTTTATTCAAGGAGATGCCTCCCTCCAGCCCTCCCTGTTCTGCAAGCATGTTGGCAATGCATCCTATTACATCTCCAGTGCTTTTAACCCAAACACTGTGACACTCTGACCCTAATGAACCCAACAGTAGCCAAAGGCCAACGGGCACCCACAGGAGAGGACTAGTCATTCTGGGTGGACAAGACTACATATCTCTTTCTCCTTTGACTTGCTGCCATTCTCTTGCTGACTGCAGCATGATGCCCAAGGACTCCACAGAGCTCTGCTGTTCAGGGAGCAAGGTAGTTCTTGGCCTCTGGAAGGGAATGACCCAGGACAGCATGATGTATGTCCACATGAGCAAGCAGGGGTACTGGAGTGTGTATGGGACATGACCAGTGCTACAGCCATGCCAGGGGCGAAGGATGGGTACCATGGGAACCTCCAATGCTGGATTTAGTGATCCAGCAGTTGTGTGGGGTCTGGTGAGGTATGCAGACCAGAAGGTTGGAGAGGAGTGCCATTGTGGCCCTCTATGGTTTACCAACCACTTTAGCCTCTCTCACTTTATGCTTTCATTTTTGTTTTTCCTTTCCCTTTTAGTATTTGGAATTAAACCTAGGGCCTTCACACTAAGCTAAATCCCCAGCCCTTTTGATACTTTTTTTTCTTTTGTTTTGTTTTGGTACTGGGGATCAAACTCAGGACCTTACAGGTCCACTCCACGGTGCCACTCAGCTAAATCCCCAGGCCTCTTTTGGTTTTTTGAGGCAGGGTCTCACTATGTAGCTCAGGCTGGCTTTGAACTCACTATGTAGTCCAGGCTGACCTCGAACTTGCAGTGATCCTCCTGCTTTAGCCTCCTGAGTGCTAGGATTACAGGCCTGTGGTATCATGCCCAGCTTATTTTTTATTTTGAGACAGGTCTAAATTGTTCAGGATGAACTTAGATCCCCTGCTTTAGTTGCCCAGAGTGCTGGGATTACAGCACCTGGCTATGCTTTCCCTCTTATGCTGGAGCACTTGCTGTCACCAGAGATTCTGACAAGGTCTCTAGCACTAGCCCCATGGGCACAGAGTAGAGCAGTGGGAGTGTTACAATGCTCCCCCTGTGCAAAGGCCTCCCCCCCGCCTTGGTTCCCTGGATGCTGTGGATATGGTAACATTAGATTTCAGGGACTTGTCATCCTTTCAGGCTAGTCCTTTTACCAAGTCATCTAACAAGCAGAAGGAGCAGTGAGGATGTCCCACAGGATGAGGTGTGCCGGTAGATTTCAAGTTCACCTTTCCTGACAATTCACCTTGTCTTAAGTCCCATTGGCCTTGTGTGCCAACCAAACAGTGCTTCAGGATAACTGTGGGACAAGAGAATGGTGTACAGGAACACACATGTCTCTCTAAGGCTCTCACAACAGGTCATGTGGGCTGGTAGAATTAACGGTGGTGGTCACTGAAACCAGGTACCACTAGCCCTGCCTTTCCCCCCACAGGCACCTGGGATGATGGACATTCTCAGCCCTGTTAAACAAGTCCACATGCATACGAGGCTGTCGTATGACCCTCTGGGTGGTACAATTAGCCACACTCCCACTGAAGTCACTGGTGCTAAGGTGCAAGGATCTGGAACCCTCTATCACTCCAGAGTTCTGTGGGTTCTATGGACCATCTGGCACACCTGCTGTTCTGCCTAGGGAGCACTGCCATTTGTGCAGTGCTATTCCCTGGAGCCATGCTGGAACACATCCTAGGTGAGGTTGCTGGCCACGCAAAGGATCAGGAACACCACAGTGGCTGTGCCCAGTAGAGCTGTGCTGAGGGCATCAAGCACATCATGTCCACTGTGCCCCAAAAGCTCAGAGGGTAGGACTACTTTTCAGTTTTGTAGAAAATTAAGATTTGGAGATTTTGTAATGAGCTCCAGGGTGATCACCTGGTGTGCTCCTAATGACAGCATCTTACTATGTATGAAAAGTAGCCCCTGTATTGAGGCCCCTGCCACTGACCACTTGGTAGGGAGGAACCACTGTGTCCGTTTCACTGATGGTATAACTGAAGTCTACAGTGATGATGTTCCTGGGCCACAGTGATACAGATGGTGAGTGATATAGCCAGAATGCCAACCCCATCTTTATCAGCAAGACCCCTGCTTGGCCTGTCACTGCCTAGCCAGGTATTGGGTAGACTGCATAGCATCTTGGCTTCTGTGTCTGTAACACAGACTGAATGTCACCCCTGACTGGTCCCCCACACAGGCTAGTGTCTTATTTGACTGGGAATGTCATTTTTATATTGTTTGTCCTTCACATTATGAGCTGATATGACATGTCTCCCACACAGCAGAGTGTGGAAGAAGCTTTGTGTATCATACAAAAAAGGGACTTTTTTGTTTGAGACCCATGGATGGCAGATGTGAGATATTGCTCTTTACATGACTGGCTTTATATGTCCTGTTATGTTATGTACACTAAGAAAGAAGCATTGCCACTTCAACTGTGGCATGTCATTTTAAATATCTGAGGGGTTAGACAGAAAAAGTACCCATAGAATAGATTAGGTATGGATTGTGCAGCTACCTGGAATGGGCCACAGCAGTGTGTTACCTGCCTATGTTCTACCAGAAACCTGCAGATCCTCCACAAGGTGAGCTGCCCCATCAGAGGCTTCCAACTTCCACACTACCCATGTCAGGTAACATGGATAGCCATGACCAAGAACCTTGTAAATGTGGTGCTTGACCTGAAGGATGACTCTTTCAGATAGTTCCCAGGAGACACAGGGGCCAAAGACCTCCCTTGGCACCCTAGCCACCACCCACACTCACTGCACTAGCTGCACATGGAAGAGAAGATCCCCGAGGAAGGCAATAATTGCCAGAAAGCCCTGCCCCTGACTGGAGAGTGGTGGCACCAGATGAAGTCAGGATGCTTCCTTTTCACTGGGAGATAGCAAAGGGGAGAGGCTGGTAGGCCAATTATTTACCCCAAGACACTGGGAACAAAATAAAGACACCTGGGAACTGATGACAGAATTTCATTCCCTCCTCCTAATTTGCATGCAGAGTTGAGGAGAGGACAGGTCCTGAGGCTGCACACTCTCAGACCAGAAACATACAGTAGCAATGGCTTGCTTGATGCTGCCACCCAAACTTGACACCGCCTGACAGTTGTGGCACCTAATAGCGTTCAGGGTCCTGGTTAGCCCAAAGAGACTAAAGGAGTACTCTTCCTCTAGAGCTGGCAGTTTTGTGTCCCCCACACCCAGAACACAGCCTGGCAGTGGCAGGCAGGCACTGGTGCTCTGCATTGCTTACCTTGGCAATGATATCTTTGAACTGATTTTCTTTCCAGGCCTCAGTGGGGTGACTCATCATTGTAAGGATGGCATTATCGTACTCCTCACGTTTGTCATAGAGAAACACCAGCTCTATCCAGAGGTGTACCTGCTCTGCGGCCCTCTGAACCTGAATAGGGAGGGCACAGGTGAGAACTGGCATGTGTTACTTGAAGACTTGGGAGCCAGAACCTTGAGGAGGGCACAGGTACCTTTGGGATGTTGACCCAAGACCAGAAGAGTTCCAGGTGCTCTGGCATCTTTTGCGGCTTGAACTTGGAGTACAGGATGACCAGCTCCATGAACATGCCCATGTGGGCCTGTTCCAGGCCCAGGGCTGCCTCCAGGAGGGAGATGACCTCCTCAAAGTAGCCACGATCCTGGCAGACCAACACCCACATATAGGCCAAATGAACTGTGCACCTCCCTGCAGTCAGACCCATACCAAAGACAGGGCAAGCACACGCCAAGTGCAGTGACTGTGAATGATCGTGAGGAGATACAAAGAAATGCCAATTACACCATTTCACTTAGTAACTAGTTGGATCACATTGGGTCAGCTGTTGGGAAATGGCTCATAACACTGCAATTCTCAAGTTTAAGTATAAATTAGTATTGCTTTAAAAAAAATTTTTTTTGGAGACAGGGTCTTGCTGTGTAGCCTAGGCTGACCTCAAACTCCTAATCCTCTTGCCTCAGCCTTCTGAATGCTGGAGTTACAGGTGTGCAGACACCATGCCCAGCTTAGTGTTGCCATTTTTATGACAAGAAATGTGAAAAATATAAAACAGAAAATGAGTGTAAAAGGGTCTGAGTATGATTTGTTTTAATCTCTGTCTTCACAGTGCACTCCTTTTGGAACCCCGACTTCAATAAGCTAACTCCACTCAGAATGCAACCATTGTCCCCTCTTGTCATGTGACTATGTCCCCAGTTGTGATGGCCAGCTGTTTGCATTCAGCCCCAGTCCTCTCAGCCATGCTCCTTGGATAAGTCAAGTCTTGGTCACAGACTGAAAACCATGCCGGAGTCCTGGAGAAACACCAACCACTTGCACTATGTCCCTGTACATTATGACCAAAGACCTGGAGAGGGCCCACTGCAGGGACCACCTCACACTTTTCCTCCACCCCCAGACACCTTCCACGCCTCCATTCTTATACCCTTGCCTGGAACATTTGCACACTCTCAGGCACTCTGCCTGTGCTCTTGCCTAGCACCCACTAGTTATGGCTCTACACTCCACCAGTCATCTACCAAGGCCAATATTCTAGTGACTTCTTTCTCCACAGACGGCCTTCAGAAAACATTCTGATTTTCTTTCTTTGGTGCCAGGGATTGAACTCAGGACCTTGAGCTTGTGAGGCAAGTGGCAGAACCACTGAGCTAAATCCCTGGCCTTATTCTCTGATTTTCCTGCCTAGAACCCTCTTATCTTGACCCCTTGTCACTTCCCAACTACCATACCACTTTTCTACTCCTCTCTGTAGAAAAATTATCCCCCAAAAGATGTGTTCCTATGTTGCTCCTGGCTTTCTCTAGTACCCCCTCAACTCTTACCCTGTTGTCTCTCCTGAGCTGGCTCAAGCCCCCTCCATGCTACTTTTCACTCAGGGAAGTAGGACTAGATAGCCTGGGACTCTCAACACATGGACGATGTGTAGTAGCCACTCTACTGTAGAGCCCATTTAAAATGTGAACAGTGCCCTGCCTGCCAATCGTATGCTCCTGGGACCCCCTCTTGTGTGTGCTTGTCCTTAGGGCATCTTATCCTCACACATACTATGGGCTGCACACAGTGGCTCTGTCCTGACTTGCCCAGTATTGCCAGCAAGTTTTCTATGGAATGTCCCTGTTATGTAAGCCACTTAGCTTCTGAAGGTCCAGATACAAGAGGAGAGAGAACATTTTGTAAAAGCCCAATACCAGCCAACGTGAGGCCCAGAGAAGCTAAAAAGACACTGTGAATTTAACTTATAAATTAGTTGACTGCACATGGAAGGGATCTTTCCTACAGACACGATGCTTTGTGAAGGATGCACACCTCTTCTCTAAATGGAATGTTGTTGGTGATTGTCATGTACTAAGGTAGCAACTCTCCCTTTATTTGGAGTGTTGATATCACTCATCATCTGCATTCCTGGCAGAACTCCTCACCTGGTAATAATTTATCAGCTCCTCCAGCTCATCTGCATGAATGACAATGTGAAGGCCACACAGCTGTGCAAGGCAGAACTCCTGCCCATCTACGCAGGCAAAAGATACCTAGGGAAGGGGGTCGGAGTGAGTGTACCTAAGACAGGACTCAGCTCCACAGCAGTGCATGTAACTGGAAAAGCAGAAATACCAGAGAAAGAGACTTTATAAGCAAACAAGGGGTTCTGAACAAGTACATTACTGTAAGCTGCCCAAGACTAGAAGAAAAATTACATTAATCATCTGCAGGCCAAGGAAGTGTTTGAGACCATGGAAGAAAGCATAAGTATTGCTTCCCAAGCCCTGAGATGTGGAGGTTGGTTTAGGTGACCAAAGAGTCATGTTGGAATTTGAGATTTGGGGTTTCAAAAGGGTTTAAGACAGCTCAAAAATAACTATCATCAGAACATGCTGTATCTGAGGGTAGTTTACATAGGAGGAGCATGCCAAATGGTACTTTCGTTGTCTGCACTGTACTATATATGTTCCACATTATAACAGGAGTGAAGAAGTGAAGCAGGTCCCTGTACAGAGGAGCCTTGGAACTGAGATTCTTACAAGGGCTAACTGGACCACACTGGGCCAAAACCAGAGCTGAGCTTGCTGCAGCCTCCCTACTTTCCTCACCCTCTATAGACAGCCCATGTTCTCAAAATGGATAAAGCAGAACATGCAGATAAACAAAATAATCACATAACCCAGTTGTCATTAACTTGAGACAATCTCTGGCCTATTATTTTCAAGTGTGAAATATACACTAACACCCTTCCAACTCTCATACACATCATGGATTTTATTATACACTGCTTGACAAAACATTTCTCCCATGTTACTGGAAACATCTTTTCTTGTGACTGCCTATTCGTTGTTTTTGTTTTTTAAGACAAGGTCTCACTATGTAGGTCAGGATGGCCTTGAACTCACTATGTAGCCCAGGAAGGCCTCAAATTTGAGGTGATCCTCCTGTCTCAGGCTCCCAAGTGCTGGGATTACAGGTATGCACCTGGCTGACAGCCGAGTCATTTTTTCTTTCTTTTATTTTTTTGCAACCGGAGATCGAACTTGGGACCTTGCAGTTGGAAGGCAGGCAGCGGAACCACTGAGCTAAATCCCCGGCCCTGTCGATTCATTTTGAAAAGTGGAACGGAGTCCACATGTACGAAATTACATAACCAAGGCCTTAATATTTAACATTTAAACTATTTGAATCTTTTGTCGATGCTTCAGAGGTTCATCTCTTTACAAAATCTTGTGCACTTACAGACAATTCTGATTTATGAGAGCTACTCTACCAATTTGCCACAAAAGACCAAGAATGCCAATGTCTAGTAACTATGCTATTAGGCAGACATATTTAGGGAGTGGTGTGGTAAGACTTACAATGCTGAAAATTCCATGTTATTAAGATAGCTTTGAGAGCTGGTCTGACATGCAGTTGTCCAAGGCCTTTGCCTCCCATCACCCATATTAGGGCCGGGGATTTAGCTCAGTGGTTCCGCTCCCATCACCCATATTAGCATATGAGGCTCTCTGAGTCATCCCAGAGGACTGAGATCCCTGCTTGAACCAGAGGTCTGCACCTGTACTCATGTTGTTTGGCAGAAGAATGGAGGGTACAACAGGAAGGACAGGAGAGAATGCCTGTCAGAAAGTGCTCCCTAGTAGGCTTTCTACAGCTTACCTCCTTCCAGGTCCAGGTGCTGTTGGCCTTGTGGCTGCTGTCCATTGCTGCCTGATACTCACCAAGGTGGACCAAGGTGGAAGCCAGGTGGGCAAAGTTAGAAACACTGCTATACAGCAGCTTGGCAGCCTCATACATGCCCTCTTCATAACAGCAGTCTCCAACCTATGGACAATTGGGGGCTCTAGTGAGATACTTACATGTGAGGATTTCTCTAGACTTGGTATTTTTCTGTTTGCTGAGAAGCATTTTTTTTTCTTTTTATTATGATGCTGGGGATGGAACTTGGGGCTTCATGCATGCTACACAAGCTTTCTATCACTAAGCTACATTCACAGCCCTCAGAAGAAACATTTTTCTAATCAGAGTCCTCAGAAGGTGAAGCAGGTCTCCCATCCATGGACACCCTCCCCTCCCCCTACTCTGGGTAGTCTCTGCATTCCAGCACCTCTCAGGCCCTGGATGTCACCTTCCACACCTGAACCCCTCTGGCCAGGCTGAGGAGGTGTGCTCCTTGCTGCTTCTGGCTGTTACCTTTTCTCCCCACTATAAACTGCTGACTGTGAATCTTGGGTCAGGCATCACCATGCTGCCACTTACAGATATTCCTCATTCCCTGACAATCTCTTTGACTTGCTCTGCTCAAAAGACCTTGTCTTCCTCATGACAGTAACCAGTCACAGCCATAGCCATACCTTAAACCTTGTCAGAGTGCTGCTAACTCAGGGCCTTCTACCAGTTACCTACTTTCTGCCCAGCCCCTACTCCAGTCCAGCTCACTGTCATTGTCCCAAACACCTCAACTCCACCAACTGAGTGACTCCACTGATTCCCGACTACCCCTACCACTGTCTGTGGCAGCTTACACGAGTTACCCAGCTGGGAGCTACACTCAAGCTGTGCAGCTCTTGGCATTCACCCTCAACTGTCTTGGTTGCTTTCAGTCCTGTCAGAGCTAATTCTGTATTCCCTAGCTGGGCCTATAGAGCTACACATAGACAGCAGAAGCCCAAAGTGCTGACAGGTCACTGAATTCATGATCATGAACCTCAGACAACCTTGCCATACTACCAATCTTTCTTCCTTAACCCATGTCCTCTCCTGGACAGCACCCTTGTCTCTTCTCTCCTCAAATCTCCGTTTCTCAAGGTAAGTACCTGGCTTTCTATTTGAGAAAATAGACACCATCAGAGCAGTTCCACAGCATCAGACTGGCTGTCCACTTGCCCACATGACCAATGCCAACTGCACTGGTGCACCTGACCCCCAATTTATTCTGCTCCATTTCAGGATCCCAGCCTTTATCAGTATCACCCTCTGTACAAGACCACTCCTGCAACCTTATGGAACTACTGTCCTCTTCCCAGCTTGAAACAAAACATTAAAAAACACAGCTCCTTCTAGCCTTACCTTTCCATCTTCCTTCCATGTGTTCTCTTCAATTAGGCTCTTGCCCCTGACTCTGTGACAGGTCTTTCCCTCTCCAGATGCCAATGCAGTGTCTAAGACACTTCTGTGTGCTTCTGCACCCTTGGGCTACTTCCCACTTCTACTTCTCCCTGCTGCCAGGTTGTGGGTGCCCAACCTCTGTCTATGGGCCATGCCACCTCAACTCATACCCCTACTGCTATATCCACTGTGTGGGAGATCTTGGGAAGGGGGAATGGCAGTGAGCTTTGCCTGTGCACTGCAGGCTGCTATGTGCGTATCTGTTGTCTGGACTTCTCTGAAACCTAACTCCTCCAGCTGGCTGCACACAACCACTGGACATCTGGCTGAGGTCAGCCCTGACAGCCTAGATAATCCTTATTCTGTTTCTACCTCCCCAGGTACAACCCCAAAACATGGACTCAGCCTTGTCTCTCTGTTCTTTTTTGGTACTGGGGATTGAACTTGGGTCCTTGTGCTTGAGCAGCAGGTGGTGAAACCACTGAGCTAAATCCCCGGCCCCGCCTCTCTGTTCTTATAACGACATCATCAGCAAACCTGTCAGTTGTGCCTCAGCCATGTCCACAGGTGACTGTGCTTTGCCACTCATCTTGACTACTTTCTGTGTTCAGTAATCATCAATGTGTTCCTACGCTCCTCACTTGCTCCCCCCCTCATGTAGAGCAGATCACATGATTCTTCTGCTGGAAACCCAGAGGAGAGTCAGAGTCTTGACAATGAGCCCTGACTCGTGGAGGCTAATAACTCCTTTCCGTCTACTGCCTTTTCCACTTGGGCTCAAAGGCTCCAGCCACCTTGACCCTCTCCACTTGGTTCCTGCACACTCCATAAGATCTCTGCATTCTCATCATTCTGTCTGCTCTTAAGAGCTCCCTGCAGAGGGATGAGGACTCAGTCCTTACATAGAAGCCCAATTTAACATTGGAATGCCCACCTGCCCACCCCCAGCTCCCTGCCTTTCCCTCTTCACACTTAAACATTTAATATTCCATTATGTCTTTTTTTTGGTGCTGGGGATCAAACTCAGGTCCTTGCACTTGCAAGGCAGGCGGCGGAACCACTGAGCTAAATTCCCAGCCCTCCATTATGTCTTTTATGTGGGCATAGATTTGACTTCTATTTTCACTCCTGCATCTAGAGCTTCACAGTCTAGCTCACAGAAGCTCAGTAACAGTTCGTTGAATAAATAAATGAAGTATTATATTAAGCTCTGATCATTGAAGACTCAGGACACACCCAGACTTGACCCTCAGATTTAGCAATATAGAAACCACCCGAGACCTGGACAAGAGCAGTTTCAGAACCTGATGGGAGCACGGGGCTGATTAGAGGGGCGACAAATTGAAGAGAGGGAGATAGACAACTGTCCCAATGGATTTTGCTCTAAAGGCAGAGAAATGGAGGCAAAGAGAAGAGAGGATTTGGGGGTCAAGAGAGAGGTATTGAGCCAGGTGCAGTGGTGCAGGCAGGCCTGTGATTCCAGCAATCTGGGAGGCTGAGGCAGGAGGATCGTAAGTTTCAGCCCAGCCCGGGGAACTTAGTGATTTAAGTGAGACTTCATCTCAAAATAAAAAATCAGAAAAGGGGCTGAGGATGTAGCTCAGTGTGAAAGTCATGAGTTCTATCCCCAGGTACCACAAAAGAGAGAGAGAAAGATATTAAAACAGGAAAATAACATGGTGTTATTGTTTTTTTTGGTACTGGGGATTGAACTCAGGACCTGGCGCTTGCAAGGCAGGTGGCAGCACCACTGAGTTAAATTTTCTAATAAATTTGTTTTTTACTATAAAAAAAAAGACTCAGGGCACATGGAAAATGAATAGAATGATATAATAAAGATGGAGTTGACAGATATCAAACTGGGAAATACATGCAAATGGGTGATAGGCTGGACTTGGCCTCCAGGCTGATGGACACAGAAGGCAGGCTTGCCAGGCCTTGGGCCAAAGTGACCACAGAGGCAGAGATCCCCTCCTCTGTAGCCCAGCAGCCATGTGGGACAAATCTCCCACTCTACTTGGGAGTGCTTCACACTCAGGAGGACCTGGTATTAATTCAAAGTGGGAGTTTGGGCACAATTTTATTATATAACATTTTATTAATTTTGTGCCTATGAAGTCAATTTTTGGAATTATGTGATCACTGACTGGAAAAAAAACTTGTAAATATAAGCAAGTAAAAGAAAAATAATAAGATACTGCCAATTCCATATCCCTGAGTTGTTCCGAGTTCCCACTGTGGGCATTTTTCCAGTCATATATGTTTATTGTATCATATGTGCCATTTTCACCCTGCTTGAACTTGATTTGAAAGGCTTCTGTTTATCAACTGGATTCTAGATAGTTTGAAAGGTTGTACTATATTCCACCAGTGGATGTTGTTAATTACTTCCTTTTGTTAGATACTGGTCATTTAAAAAAAAATTCTTTTATTGGTACATTTTAGGTATACAATATGTTTACATTCATCTTTGGGTGCTTGTACCTGTACATGATGTATCTTGGTTCTTATTTTTTCCCCATTACCTGTGCGCCCTTCACCCCTCCACCCTTCCCTATTTACATAGACTTCGCTTCCATTTTTTTTCTTTTCTCATAATTTTTCTTTTTCCTTCTTTCCTTTCCCCTTCCCCTCCCACCACCCCTACACCTTTGGACCTTTTCCTATTTCAAATTATCAATTATTCATTTTAATCCTTATTTACACTTTCAGTTTCTCACATTAGAGAAACTATTCGGATTTACACGTGTGTCCTATTTATTTCACTTAAGAGTATGGCCTCAATATGCATCCATTCAGCTATAAATGTCTCTATTTTCTCATTCTTTACGGCTGAGTAGTACTCCATTTTATTAAAAAACCATATCTTTTTTATCCAGTTTCCAGGTGATGGGCATGTGGGCTGTTTCCAAGCTTCAGTTATTAAAAACTGTGCCGCTATAAACATGGATGCACATATATTGCTGTGGTATGATTCTTTTAATTCTTTGGGGAAGATCCCCAGCAGGGGAATAGCTGGGTCAAATGGGACTTCTAGCCCTAGTTCTTTGAGGTATCTCCATACTGATTTCCACAGTGGTTGCACCAATCTGCACTCCCACCAGCAATGGAGAAGGGTTCCTTTCTCCCCACAACCCCACCAGCATTTGTTACTGGTTGATTTCTTAATAGCAGCCATTCTTTCTGGGGTGAGGTGGAATCTCAGTGTTGTTTTCATCTGCGTCTCTCGAATGAACAGTGATGTGGTCAATTTTTATTAGTATAAATCATGGTGTGATGTTTAAACATGTTCACAATGGGGCCATAATTTGTATGTCTCTCTGCTAGGCAGCTCTGATTTGAATTGACTATCCCATTAGGCAACTTGAACCACTGGTGTTACATGTATGACTGTACCATCAGGCAGCTTGTACCCCTTTCTCAGGGAGGTCTTTGATGAAAATAATGCAAAGAAGGGCCGGGGATTTAGCTCAGTGGCACTGCGCCTGCCTTGCAAGTGCAAGGTCCTGAGTTCGATCCCCTGTACCACGCCCCTAAAAAAAAGTAGAAAAAAAGAAAATAATGCAAAGAAAGGCATTAACTTAGCAGACCAGATGCCATCATATTACATTCCTTAAGGAAAACATTAAAAGGAATAAAAATTGTATTACAGCTAATTTGTGGTATAGCAGTTGGACATGCATATTATATACACCAGCAATGCGGTACTTGTAAGATTTCCATGTTAAAATTTAGAGAATTAATTATTGATAATCTATTAACCCATGAAGAAATGCCATGGGTACAAATTACTCAGAAATAACATTCACTTTATAAAGCTTATTTAGAATCAGAGAAACGCACACAAGCAATGTAGAGAATGTTATCAAAAATTATCTGAAAAAATGGGTGCTCCTGTGGCCATAAAAAAGCCAAACACATTATAATGTTTTATATTCTCTGCATAAATCAGCTGCCTTTATGAATAAAACTTTTTTTTTTTTTTTTGGTACCAGGGATCGAACTCGGGTCCTTGTGCTTGCGCAGCAGGTGGTAAAACCACTGAACTAAATCCCTGGCCCTATGAATAAAACATTTTAAAGAAATTCACAAATATAAATAAATTTAATGAAATTAATTTGTTGATTATTGTAGTAATTTTCATTTTATTTATTTATTATTTTGGGGGGGTACGGGGGATTAAACTCAGGACCTTGCACTTGTAAGGCAGGCAGCAGAACCACTAAGCTAAATCCCTGGCCCTCCTGTAGTAATTTTTAATTGGCATGAATAGTACTGATATTTATATTTGGGTAGTAATTATTTAAATTCAAGCAACTAACTAGATTCCATCCATTTATAGACTCTTTATAAATTTTATTAATAAAAAGACTGATAAAAGTGATTAGATCTGATGGGATGGTCATGCATGTATCACCAGTGGTTCAAGGTGGTGTAAATGAACTGATATTTTCCTTTGTACTTTCTCTATATGCTTAAAAACTCCTTTGTTATCCAAAGATTCAAATACTATTTCAAATAAATTTTATTAAAGAAATACACTCAGTTTTTACTTTTAATTATTTTATCTGGAATTTTATTTAAAGAATTATATGATGAACTTTTCATCCCTTTCAAAATGTTAACCTAGTTTTCAACAATTAGAACTTATTTTGAAATAAAAATTCAAAACACTTTTGTGTTATTTATTTCAACAAACTATGTGTCCTCTTTCATTTGTACTACTGTAGAGTTAGAATAATTTTCATTATCCCTTTGCCTCTCTTTATCACTTTTTCCAGGGGATAGTATTTTACTTGCATGGCAGACTTTATTATTAATTAGATCTTTCTTTTATTTAGTATTATTTTCAGTTAGGGTTTATTTAAACATTTTGGTTTTATTTCCTTTTAAAAAGGAATGTCTGCTGGGCATGGTGGCACACACCTGAAATCCCAGCACTTGAGAGGTTGAGGCAGGAGGATTGTCTTGAGTTTGAGGCCAGCCTGAACCACATAGTGAGACCTTGTCTAGAAAAAAAGGGGGGTGGGATGGCTTTTTGCATTTTTCTTCATTATTTTATCTGGTCATTGTGGGCATATGGGAAAGTTGCTAATTTTCAATATATATCTTCCAGGTATCCGGATTATTAAATGTGAGTTAGGTAGTTCGTTTTGTTTTCTTATGGTAAACAGAACACCTGCATGTTAAGTCCTAACATCCTAACATCTTCTCCTCTAAGAGAGCCGTTTTTCTTTTTCTTTTTTTTCCTTTTTTTTTGGAGACAGAATCTCACTATGTAGCTCAGGCTGGCCCTGAGCTCACAGCAATTCTCCTGCCTCAGCCTCCCCAGTGCTAGGATTACAAGCATGCACCACCACACCTGGCAAGGAGGGCCATTCTCATGTGCACAGCCATGGCAAGTCAAATTCCACAGGGTCTAATTTCCATCAATCACAGCAAGAAGTTATGTACTTCTGTGTGTGGCTTGTTTCCCATCATCATGAATTTGTATAACTCTAAGGAGGATTCCTAGCCAAAGTATGGCTGTGGTAGTTCCTGTCCCAAGGGGGCCCAACTTACCTGCTGGATGTTGGCATTGTTGGGGCCATTAATGCAATCTTCTAGCTCAGATAGACGGGCAGTTTTAGCCAATGCAAAAATAAATTCAGTTTCTATACAGGACTCATGGTTCTTCTTCTGGGCCATTTGTAGGAATTACACTAGATCTTCCCAGTTGTCTAAGTGCAGAAAAAAAGACAAATTAGCCCAGAGATAATCATTTTAAACCAAGGCTCAGTTTCTCCTGTTTTGTCCTCAGCCAGACATGTTTATCCTTCTGGTCATGTCTCGTGATAGCTCAGGCATCAGGTTAAGTCTACAAAGTCTTGGCTTTTCCCAGTAAATAAAGCCCTATCCAAGGAGGGAGAAAGGGAAGTGGTAGGGCTACAGGTGAGTTACTCCTTGGGATAGGAGTCTCCTTGTCCCCAAGCAAAGACTTCACTAGGCACTGGGATGCTTACTCTAGTCCCTGGAGAGGTTAATGCCACAATCAACTAGATACACCAGAAGAATATCCCCAAGAAACTGAGGATGAGTCACTGACCTTAGAATTATTACAACTGTAGTTACTGATTATGTCTAAACTGCCTAATCTTATAAAAAAGGACAACAGTCAACTGGACTGCAGAGCTAGTACCACTAACAGAGTAATATTTATCTCAGACTCTTTTGGAAAACTTTTACTTACTATGTTCTGTGATTTCTCTGGATGCAAAATACACTGAGATTCCTGGGAATCTCTCCAACATCTTGCCTTGGCCATGCATCACACCAGTGAGAAGCAGGGCCCTGGAGAGGGTATTCACTTACTGCTCTTGTTGGCTGCCTGAACCACCTCTAGGTAAGAGACAGGGTCATCTGCCCTGATGTAGGAGTTGATGGCTTCCTTCACCAAGTCCTTTTTGAGTTGGGCTTGGGCCAGCTGACTCCACACAGCAGGCTCATTACATCTCTCAGCAAACTCATACGCTTGGTCTAGGTTTCCAATGTGCTCCATCAGGACCTGGGGTCATAGAAGTACTGGCATTGGTCACAACACCTTGTCAGCTCCAAGGAGCAATTGTTTTTGTTTGTTTGGTACCGTGGATCGAACTTGGGACCTTGCGCTTGCAAGGCAGGCAGCGGAACCACTGAGCTATATCCCTGGCCCCTTAGGACCAAATGTTTTGTTTGGTTGCTTATTCTGTGTAAGTTGCAAGATAATTTAATTCAGTGCAAAGAAACTGGGCACTAAGTATTTCTTAGATGAATGAATTGACAGAGACAAGAGACATTGTAGAGGGAAGGTGGTTGTGGTGGGGGTCCCAGACAGAGAAGAGATAAACTAACAAAAGCATAAAGAAAGAGCTGAACATGAACCTGGTGTCAGGTACCAAAGTCGAGGAGGGTGCTGCGGAGTGGAAGGGACATTAGCAGAGAAGGTAAAGGCAAGTAGGCAACCAATTTGGAGGAGCAGAGAGGAGCAAAGCATCCAAGAGAAGATGCACTGGATGACTGAAGTATAAGACATCTCTAGTGATGACAAAGGCCTCCAGTGAGAAAGGAAATGAAAACTCCTCCTGTTGTGGAAGATGTAAGTATGAGCACAGCTGTAATGCAAACTCACAAGAGCAAGACAATCTTGGAAGGCCCTGCCAAACCTCTCTGCTCCCCCTTCATTGCCCTCTGCTTGTGTCTGGCTGTTTCCTTAGTAACCATGGCTACTGTTTCCCCTTCCTAAAGAAACATAGAGATATAAAAACGGGAGTAAATTTCTGTTTGGTGCTCTTGAGGTGATGTGAATCCCTTGCTAAGCCACCGGCTAATAAAAGCCGCTTTTTGCTCCTACTCCATGTCAGGTGGTCTATCCAGGAATCTCACACAATGGTTATGCTTCATTTGGCAAGACAATCAGGAAGGTTTGGGGTCTGGCACAGTCACCAGTGGCTGACTGCCTCTCCCATGGGTGAAGCAGGGGAGTTCAGCCCGCTGGATGACAAGCTCCTGCTGAGTGTGTGACCACAGATTGTTTCCTGTCATGTGGGAGGTCTCCCTGTATGACTGGCTGGGGCACCCCAGCTGACTGCCTGAGGCAGGCTCACATGGAGACACTCACATGCTTTTGGCAGATGTCTGAATCACAGTAAGGTTGAAGGGCCCCAATTCAGGGAAGAGATCCAAGGAGGGATCTCCAGAGAGGGCTGATCACCCTCAGTATTCCCGACTAGCTGCCACAGTGCAGTTAAACCAGAGCACTTTAGGCTGCTATTGGCAGGTGGGAGTGATATTTGCTGGCTTGGTTCTGTGAGTGCTTGTGTGTGAATGAGATGGACATCACATTCCTAACTACTGCTGGGGTGTACAGGGCTGAAGTGAGTGCAGAGTCCCGAGCTGTGGTTCCGGGGCTACCTTATACAGCTTTGGGCAGCACTAAGGTAACAGTGAGGATCATTGGCTTGCCAATGCTAAGAGGAGCCTGAAATATCTTTACGAGGAGACTGGTAGGTGATGGACAAAGCAATTGGAGTCTTGTTTGTTGTCTATTTTTGTGGAAGGTAAAACCATGGGTTGGGGCCAAAGTAAGAACACCCCATTTGAGATCATGATCAGAAACTTCAAGATCTGATTTACTGGGGACTATGGTCAGAAGTTCACTCCAGGAAAGCTTAGAACCCTTTGTGAAATAGACTGGCCAACCTTTCAGGTTGGATGGCCCTCGGAGGGCTCATTTGAGGAAATTTTAATCATGACAGTATGGCAAGCTGTAGGAACTCCTGGGCACCCAGACCAATTTCCATATAGATACCTGGCTACCCTTAGTTCTCTGTCCACCACCTTGGTTGAGGGAGCCCCTTTTCTGAGTTCTGCTTGCCACAACGGCCCATCTAAACTGGCAGAAGTCTCCCAAAAACCTCACCTATTTTTGAGGGTAACTTGGACAATTTGCGATTAAATATGATGAGCCCCCTCCCTCCCCATAAACCTTCCACTCCTAGACCAACCTTCCTTCTTCTTTTTTTTTTTTTTTTTGGTACCGGGGATCGAACTTGGGTCCTTGCGCTTGC